GTACATTTCTTTTCACTGTTGGAGGTAAATCAAAAATCAATTCTCCAAAATTCATTTTTATTTCTAGTCTGACGCGACACGAGCGCGTTTCGTAAAACTTATTACATTTTCAAAGACTTTAGTTCACAAATACACAACTGAATAGAACTTACGCATCTCCGATTTTATATCTACATTTGAGTGAGGTGGAAGGGGTGATGTGGCATTAACACAAGACAGAACAAGATGTGGCATTAATAGGGTATTAATTTCATCAACACAAGACAGAACAAGAGTATTAATAAGGTATTAATTTCATCAACACAAGACAGAACACGAAACAATGGATATTGAATAGAAGTGTTTGTAGAAAGCCTGTTGGTCCATATTTCTTGATGCTTCTATATTGGAGCGGAGTCTTGAGGTGGGTAGAATATAGTTGTGCAATAATTGGCTGTTGATTGCTGGTGTTGACTTCTTGATGTGTAGTGCCTCGCAAACGTCAAGCCGCCTGCTATCACTGTATCTATCGATGATTTCTGTGTTGTTTACTAGGATTTCTAGTAATCCTAGTAAATATATATATATATATATATATATATATATATATATATATATATATATATATATATATATATATATATATATATATATATATATATATGTCGTACCTAGTAGCCAGAACGCACTTCTCAGCCTACTATGCAAGGCCCGATTTGCCTAATAAGCCAAGTTTTCATGAATTAATATATTTTCTCTGATTTTTTTCTTATGAAATGATAACGCTACCCATTTCATTATGTATGAGGTCAATTTTTTTTAATTGGAGTTAAAATTAACGTAGATATATGACCGAACCTAACCAACCCTACCTAACCTAATCTAACCTATCTTTATTTGGTTAGGTTAGGTTAGGTAGCCGAAAAAGTTAGGTTAGGTTAGGTTAGGTAGGTTAAGTAGTCGAAAAACAATTAATTCATGAAAACTTGGCTTATTAGGCAAATCTGGCCTTGCATAGTAGGCAGAGAAGTGCGTTCTGGCTACTAGGTACGACATATATATATATATATATATATATATATATATATATATATATATATATATATATATATATATATATATATGTCGTACCTAGTAGCCAGAACGCACTTCTAAGCCTATTATGCAAGGCCCGATTTGCCTAATAAACCAAGTTTTCCTGAATTAATATATTTTCTCAATTCTTTTTCTTATGAAATGATAAAGCTATCCATTTCACTATGTATGAGGTCAATTTTCTTTTATTGGAGTTAAAATTAACGTAGATATATGACCGAACCTAACCAACCCTACCTAACCTAACCTAACCTATCTTTATAGGTTAGGTTCGGTTAGGTAGCCAAAAAAGGTAGGTTAGGTTAGGTTAGGTAGGTTAGGTAGTCGAAATAGCATTAATTCATGAAAACTTGGCTTATTAAGCAAATCGGGCCTTGCATAGTAGGCTGAGGAGTGCGTTCTGGCTACTAGGTACGACATATATATATATATATATATATATATATATATATATATATATATATATATATATATATATATATATATATATATATATATATATATATATATATATATATATATATATATATATATATATATATATATATATATATATATATATGTCGTACCTAGTAGCCAGAACTCACTTCTAGCCCTACTATGCAATCCCCGATTTGCCTAATAGGCCAAGTGATTTACTTTATTTTCAATAAATTGTTTCCAATTAGTTTATTTGAATTATTATTATTATATTATATTAGGAACATAAATTATTGACTTAGTTGTGTGAGTATAGGTTACGTTTAGATAGGTTAGGTTAGGTTAGGTAAGGTTGGTTAGGTTCGGTCATATATCTACGTTAGTTTCAACTCAAATTTCAACAAATTAACTTATAAATAATGAAATGGACAGATTTATCATTTCATAAGAAAAAAATGACAAAAATACATAAATTCAGGAAAACTTGGCTTATTAGGCAAATCGGGCCTTGCATAGTAGGCCGAGTATGACGTACTGGCTACTAGGTACAACATATATATATATATATATACCACTATATATCCTAGAAGAAGACAATATAGAAGCATTGTGGAGTATATATATATATTATTATATATAAAGTATCGTCATATATATATATATATATAAACGTAGTAAACATATATATATATAACAAAAAAAAAAAACAAAAATACACAAAAAAAAAAAAACTTTAAAATAATAAAAAGCCCTTAGCATAGGCCGAATAGGGTACCACCACTGGTTTAATTAAAGGGACCCACATCCTCGAAGAAGAAAATAAATAGTGTTCAGAGAAGACCTTGTGGATTCTCACTGAATACTTTAATCTTTTCCTCTCCTACCTCCCCTATTATTTTTTTTTTGTTTTTATTTGATTTTATTGCAATGTTACAGTTTACAGAAAACACACACTTATATAACAATATAACAATATACCAATCAGTGTTCGAAGACCTCGTCCAGTTCCTCGGGGGTCGGGTGCGTACCCAAGATACAACACGCATTTCCCCTCTGAACAGCGACACTGAGGCGCTGGAACATAAAACTGGCCGCTCTTGGGTCTCTAGTCTTCCCAATGAGTTCCTCGCCCAGCTCCTTCAGGAACTTGAGTGCACATTTACCCCAGGCGCCCAGAGTCTCAGAGCCTATTGGCACGAACCTGTAACAACGTTCTAGGTCCCTATACTTGTTAGTTTTCTGGGTCTCCCTGAAGGTGGCCGCCCCGCCTCCCTCAGCTGCGCTGTAAGGTAGATAGGTATCAGCCAATGTGGATGCACATGTGTAGTCCCACACGACCTGTTTACCTTCCCTCCACGGCTGCAGGGTGACTCCATCTGGGCGTTTTTGACTGTTGTCAGGCCTGCACAACTGAGGTTCCCTTTGTGCTGGGCACCCAGCTGAAGCCAAACTTCTCTTGATGATGTCATTGACTGCTTCATGTCTGGCAATCTTTCCCTGTGTCTTACGACAGATGAGACCATGGCTGCCGTATTGGTCTGCCCGTGCATGGCCGCAAATACACCGGTGCTCGGTGCAGATAGGGGCGGCAAGGCGCAGAGCAACACCAATACTTAGGGTCCGATGGTCCAGGCGGGTGCCCAAGGCGGAATTAGGGACTGCCAACAGGAAGTCCCCGGCATGGGGAGCTTGCACAGCTAGAAGACGCGCTTTGTCCTTCCTGGAAGCTGCCTCCAGCAATGATGTGACGATGTTCTCCACTATGGGGCTATCCCATTTGGACTGTTTGCAGTCATTTGGAAAAGTCGGTCGAGGATGAGAGTTGACAAGAGTGTCCCACTGACCGGCTCCTTCCGCGAATTTGGGATCATGAATCCCAATGAAGTCTCTTAGGTGTTCCGGTAGTATTTCCTTAACTAATTCACCTGTTGCACTGGTCGAGGATAAGAATGCCGGCAATGCTAACTGGGTCGCCTTGCGAATACCTATCCCCCCGAGTCTAACTGGGAGCGTTGCTTGGTCCCATTGGTCATCTTGCAGGGAGAGGTTTAACACTTTCACGGTTATTGACCTTAGGAGTGTGTCATATTCTGTTAATTTTGGGCTGTCGAAGGAGGGAGCACACCTTAGGAAATAGGTCAGTCTGGGCAAAGCCAGGCACCTTGTGAGAAGGTACAGAGCATCGTGGGCGTCCAAAGCCCCTATTCTTCCCTCCATCCTCCTCAGGTCGTTCAGCTTTTCTTCGAGGACTATCTCAATGGCGCTCGAGCCCAGAGGTGCCCCTAGCAGCACACTGTCGGTGGGAGCGATCACTTGGGCTCCTGGCAATATGGTTCGCACTGCATCTTTGGTTGGTTGGCTAGATGAGATGATTTCACACTTTAATGGGTTTAGGGTGAGTCCTAACTCCTCTCCCTTAGATTTCACCAGCTGTAGATCTTCTAGCAGGGACTCCTGTGTCCCTGCCAGGGTGCCATCGTCCAGGAACCAGATGTTGAGTTCGCTGGTCAACCTGCTTGTGACCTCTTAAACAGCCATGCAAAAAAGAAAAGGGGCAAGTGGGTCTCCCTGCTGGACACCTTCTGCAGAAACAACTTCATGTTCCCCAAACAGCAGCGTCGATTCCCTACTGTACCCTGCTGAGACGAAGGGGAGTAGAGAAGGAAAGCTTGTTCGAACTGCTTCCAGTACCACATCCCTTTTTACCTGGTTGAAGGCATTTTTAAAGTCTAATTTAATTAATGCCTTATTTTCTGAGAGGTGCTTTATATAGGCTCGTGCTGCATGAGCTGCTGCTTCACAGCTATGGGGAACACCAAAACCTAGTTGATGGGGTCGAAGCATCGTCGCAGCGTCTATGCTAATTTTTCTGACAGCTGCCCTAGCAACAAGGCGCCGAAGTGTGTTACCCACGGCAATGGGTCTGACTCCATATATATATATATATATATATATATATATATATATATATATATATATATATATATATATATATATATATATATATATATGTATATATTATATATATACACGCACTTCTATATATATATATATATATATATATATATATATATATATATATATATATATATATATATATATATATATATATATATATATATATATATATATATATATATATATATATAAGGCACAACTCTCCTAAACACGAGAGTGAAGTATACAACTTTAGAACACTGGTGGAGCGGGTTAAGGCGTACCTGTTATGCCAGTTGCTGGAAGGCTTCTGTGCTGGCTAGGGTTCGAGTCTCCTGGTGGGAAAGTGTTCTAAAGTTGTATATATATATATATATATATATATATATATATATATATATATATATATATATATATATATATATATATATATATATATATATATATATTACCACTCACCACTATAATACCACTGGACCACTCACGTGGCCCCAGCAGTGGCTTGAATTGTTTAACTGACTTTCTGTCTGCCTTTCCCTGCCTTTAAAAGAGTGTGATCTCTCCCACAGGAATGGACGGCTGGTGTCTGCCTGGTGTGACATGACTACAGACGGAGGTGAGTAATCTCTTCGAAGGGGGGTGCAGGAGGCCGGTGTCTGCCTTTTGTGACGTGACTACTGACGGGGTCAGTTGTCTCTACAACAGAGCGGGGCGCCTGGTGTCTGCCTTGTGTGACGTGACTACTGACTGGGGTCGTTTGTCTCTCCGACAGGGAAAGGCGGCTGTTGTCTGCCTGGTATGACGTGACTACTGACGGAGGTCAGTTGTCTCCCTAACAGGGAGGGGTACCTGGTATATGCTTGGTGTAACATGACTACTGACGATGGACAGTCGTCTCTCCAACAAGGAGGGGCGTCTGGTATCTGCTTGGTGTAATGTGACTACTGACGATGGTCAATCGTCTCTCCAACAGGAAGAGGCGGCTTGTGTCTGCCTGGTTTGACGTGACTACTGACGGAGGTCAGTTGTCTCTCTAAAGGTAGGGGCGGCTGGTGTCTTCCTGGTGTAACATGACTACTGACGAGGGTCAGTTGTCTCTCCGACAGGGAGTGGGGGGCTGGTGTCGGCCTGGTGTGACGTGACTACTGACGGAGGTCGGTTGTCTCTCCAACAGGGATGGTCGCTTTTGGTGTAACTAGTTTGATGTGACTACTGACGGGGGTCACTTATCTCTCCAACAAGAAGGGGTGGCTGGTGTGCCGTGACTACTGACAGTGGTCAGCTGTTTCACCTCCCGAAGTAGTTTTTTCTTTTTGCAGGGATATTCCTGCGCGGGCCCTAAGCCTCTGGCTGGCCCACTAAGTGTTGTTTGTTTCTGTTTTACTTGGGCGGAGTATGAGTCACAACGCACCCCTAGGGGATCCCAGCAAGATCGGAAACATGTCTCCTGTTGGGTTTCCTGCCTCTAAATTGTGGCTCCGTGGTGGGTGTGGGGGCACATTCGTGAATGAACATCGAACCTCTCGTTTTACGTCGCATTCTGTTCCTCTTATACCTTCTCGGGCAATGGGTAGGCGACCAAACCCCCGACTCAGATTGTGTTGGAAGACGGGGCTCTGTAGCCCCCGCTGCATTTGGGGGGGATTGATCCTCCTCTGACCCTCCTGACTACTTCCCTTGGCTCTCCTCCCTCCTCTGTGGTTGGGTCGTGCCACAAGCCCTCAGTGATGACCACCTCGTCCCCTGGCACAGCTCAATCTCTGTCTGGGGTTCCCCTTCTTTCTACCCAATTGGTCTTGTCTCCTGTGTCTTCTTCCTCGTCTCCCTCCGTTCCTTCTTTCCATTGTGGGCTGATGTCCATTATTATCCCAACGGTCATCGTGTTGTTTGCTCTCGTTTTGCTTCTCTTGTTGAGACGCTGTTGCCCAGTACATTGTTGCTGGGACGCCAGTCTCTTTGAGTCAGAAGCGAGAGCCTGGCTCTTCTACTTCCTCCTCCCTGGCGGGTAAGAAGGCTTTGCTTTCTTCCTCGCCTCCTACCTCTGCCTCTCTCACTTCATCCCCTCCCATTTCGGTGGTTGCACCCCCTGTTCCTGCTATGGAGGTTTCTTTGGCCCCCGCTTCCCTCTCGGCTGCTGCCCTTGCTGATGTGCACTCCCTGGTTTCTGCCCATCCTGCTGCTGTCCTTGACACTCGGTTGTCCACCCCCCTCCTCTTCCTCCTCCGGATCCTGCTCGTCCGCCTCTGGTCGGTCCTCCTGCTCCCTTCCCTCCATCCTTATTCAGTTTACCCATGCCTCCTAACCCTGACTTCGCTAATCCTGATCCTGCGCTTCTTTAACGTGCTGTGTTCCATTTTCACCTTTGTTTCTTCATTGTCCTCTGTTGCTGTTCTTTCTCTTCTTGTCGATGTCTATTCTTCAATGGAATATTCGCGGATATTACGCCAATTTCCATGAACTCCAACTTCTGATTTCACAGTTTTCGCCCCTTTGTGTCTTTGTCCAGGAACCGATGCTTGGTGCTCGTCCTGGTCGCTTCCGTGGCCGTTCCTTTCTCTCCCCACCCCCCGGCGTTTGCTGGGGCCCGTTTCTCTTCTGCTCTCTTGATTTGTTCTGATGTTCTCTTCGTCCCCCTACTTTTTCCGCCACCTCTCCAATGTTCTGCTGCACGTATCTTTGCGCACAAATGGTACACAGTTTGTTTCATTTACCTCCCCCCCAAATGAACCGCTTTCTCTTCACGATCTTAAACACCTCCTGGATTCCATGCCAGACACTGTGCTCCTGGGTGATTTTAATTGTCGGCATACCCTCTGGGGTGATGTTAGCCTTCTCTAACCGTTCATCCTTTATTCTTCCCCGTCTCTTCTGAATTCTGGGGAGCCTAATCATTTGAACTCTCAGATTCGCACCCTTTCCTGTCTTGATCTTTCTCTCTGCTCGTCGTCTCTTTACTTGGATTTCACGTAGAGAGTTCTTGATGACTTCCATGGCAGTGATCATTTCTCCATCCTCGTTTCCTTAAACTCATTTCACCCTCCCCTTTCCTCTCCCTAGGTGGCAGTTTGCTAAGGCAGACTTGAACCTATATTTCTTCCATGCTGCTCTCTCTGACCTCTAACTTCTGCCTCTTCCTCGTGCCCCCCTACTTTTTCATGACACCATCTTCGACGCTCTATTCCTCGCTCTTCCTCTTGGGGACCGCGGAAGTGCGTTCCCTGGTGGAATGTGGACTGTGCTTGGGCAGTCCGCAGTAAGCGTGCAGCCTGGAAGAGACACCGCCGACGGCAGACGGCTGATTCTTTTCTTCTGTTTCGGTAGGCGAGTGCGGTGTCCTGTAGGGCCATCCACACAGCTAAGCGTGAGTGTTGGAAGTATTATGTTTCTACCATTACGTCCGAAACTCCTCTGCTGCAGATCTGGAAGCGTGTCCGCAAGATAGCGGGTAAGTTCGATCCCGATGTCTCGCTGGTCCTGCACCTCTATGGTACGCTTGTGGCAGACCTTTTGCAGGTCGCGACCGAACTGTGTACCACTTTTCTTCTGTTAGCTCTGGTTCTCATCTTCCTCAATCCTACTTTCTTTGTAAACCTGTCCTTGAATCTCGTCCTTTAGATTTCTGCACTCATCTCAGACTTCCCTATAACGATCCCTTTTCTCTCTCTGAACTTCAGTCTACCCTGGCCCTCCGCAGTTCTACGGCGGCGGGCTCCGATGGCATTCATTATGAGATGCTTTGCCATCTCCCTTTGTGCATGTCTCAGTATTTATGAATCTGTATAATCGGGTCTGGGAGTCGTCGTCAGCCCCTGAGGACTGGCTCGATGCCGTTGTCCTCCCTGTTCGGAAACCAGGGTCTCTGGGGACATCCCCTAAGGACTTTCACCCTATTGCCTTCACAAGCTGTGTTTCCAAACTCTTTGAACGTATGGTTAACGTTCGTCTAATGTGGTTCTTAGAACACTATCACCACCTCTCTATTTCTTAATTTGGTTTTCGCAAGTGCTGCAGCACAGTAGATGTCCTTTTGAACTTGGAGGTCTATAGTTGTACTGCTTTTGCTGCGAAGACCTCCGATGTTTCTGTTCTTTTTGACCTGAAAAAACTTTATGACACCACTTTGGCGATGTCATATTCCCAAATTCATTCTTTTAGCCTTTATGGTAATCTAATTCTCTTTCTCCAAAGCTTCCTCTCTCGTTGTTCCTTTCGACTGAGGCTTGGTACTAAGGCTCTGCCTCTTTTCAGCAATATGAGGGTGTGCCGCAAGGAAGTATTCTGAGCACAACACTTTTTTTTCTGCTTGCCCTCAATGGTCTTCTTTCCTCTCTTCCTTCTGGCGTCTTCTCCGCTCTCTTCAAATCGACGATCTTACCCATTGCTGTCGGGGTGATGATTCGCCTCTCCTTCAACAGTGGCTTCAACTTGCGATTGATGCCAGGTCGTCTTGGGCCACCAATCATGGTTTCAGGTTCTCTCCGTCTAAGACTTGTATTATGACATTTACTTGGATGCATGTCGTTAATCGTCCTTCTTTGTCGCATTATGGTCTCAGCTCTGGTGCCTTTCGTTCGACTCCCGCCCTCAATTTGTATGTTGATACTGGCTTCCTATCTCTCCAGGACCGCCGTGATCACTACTGTCTTCGCTATCTTGCGCGGTCCTTGCAACATCCTTCCTCTCGCCTCTGTCATGCTCTAACTTTTACCCTCCTGTGGTTCTTGTTCCTCATCACCAACTCCCTCTTTCTGTCCGGTTATCTCGCTTACAGGATTCTCTTTCAGTTCCTATTTCTAATATTTCTCCTCATGTTGTTCGTTCCTTGCCCCCATTGAGAATCCCCCTGCCGAAGTTTTGTATATCCTTAACTCGCATCACTAAAGCTTTTACCCATCCTATGGTTGTGAAATGCCTTTTCCTTGAGCACTTTTCTTCACTTTTATGTGTCGCCTACCTCCGGAGACTAGCATTCTTCACTGCAGATCTTTGTGCTATTTTCTATGATCTTCGTCTCCTGCTTTCTCGTTGTCACTCTTCCTTTGTAGTTGTCGTTGACTCTCGTAGTGCCCTCATGACTCTCGGGTCCTTTAATCCGGTTCATCTAGTGGTTGTCGAGATTCAGCATTGGCTGTTTCTTATTTCCAGTAAATTTAAGTAAGTTGAGTTTTGCTGGGTTCCCAGCCATATTGGCGTGTCTTTAAATGAGGGTGCGGATGCTGCCACTAGGGAAGCTATCCGCTCTTGTCCCATCTCCCATAAGGTATTCTTTATTCCGACTTTAACCCCAGTTATTCATTACTCCATACTTACCCGTTGGCAAGATTGTTGGTTTTCTGTTACTGGTAACAAACTGTGTACTCTTAAGAGTAGCGTATCATCCTGGCCGTCCTCCTACCACTTTAACCGGCGATGGGAAACGGCTCTGGCGAGGTTGCGTATTGGCCATATGTGCTTAACTCACGGTCCCTCAATGGAGCGCCGCCTTGCTCCTTATTGTCCAAATTACATTGTCCCTCTTAGAGTCGTGCATATTCTTGTTGAATGTCCTAAATTGCAGGACGAGCGTGTGTCTTGTTTTCCGACCATCAATTGCTGTGGCGTGTCCCTCGATAGGAT